GTGTGTGTGTGTGTGTGTGTGTGTGTGTGTGTGTGTGTGTGTGTGGAGACAGCGAGCGGGCTGTCCTGGGCTTCTACATGTTTTATTCATGTGTAATAGACACTTCGAATCACATACTAATGGCTCCGGCCACATGCACAGACAGCAGCCTGGGGCCTCTTACACACACAGACACTGTGAATGTCAGTAATAGAATACAAAGTGGTACTTATAGAAAGAGAGAGAGTGGGACACAAGATGGATTGAGATAATTACAGCTTAAGTGAGCAAAGGTGCGTGCGTGTGTCCCACGTACACGTGTGTGAGCCTCTGCACGTCTGACCGCTCGCTGCACTGTACGCAAACATTCTTCATATGCTTCCATATTGACATTCTTATGGAAATGGAAAACATAATGAGTTATTGGTCAACTAGTGGAGGTGTGTGTGTGTGTGTGTGTGTGTGTGTGTGTGTGTGTGTGTGTGTGTGTGTGTGTGTGTGTGTTGTAAATGCTCAGGTGGGAGGTCAGTGTGATGGATGACCTCCGTGTCTCTGACTTGTTGGACGGTGGATTTGATAAAGCCCGCAGCTCGGTCGTGTGGTCACGCTGCACTGGTTGTTGGAAATAACCTGCAGCTGTGACTCGGTCCTCGGCCTGAACACCGATATGAATCAGCTGTTTGTCCCAAAATGGGCTTTAAATAAATAAAGCTCTGATCAGTTTCCCTCTGTGAGTGCGGAGACGAGAGTAGGCACCACGAACAGGATTTCAAATTACAAGTCTGCAGGCTTCAAACACAAACAATAATTACAATTCTACACAGATTTTCATGCAAACAACAAACAGCAGCAGTTGTGTTTCAGCAACAACAAGTGAATACTGACAGAGGAAGCCAGCTCGGTGGCATCAGATTATCAGACACTGCCCTCTGTTGTCAAGATGGATGAAGTACAAGTATCTGTTAATATGTATTTATTAAAGGAACACACACACACACACACACAGACACTAATATTTTACTTTTTTTAAATGATCTCAGTGATTGACTCATTATCAAAGTTAGCCTCAATTATCTTTTTCTGTCAACTACTCACTTCCTCAAGTTATTACTCTACCTCCTGTCTGAAGTTAGTGAAGTGCTGAGTTTGACTGTTGATTGAACATAGAGTTGGTGGATTGGTTATAAGTCTTAAAGTGACTTTTAAACCCGACCAATCCTCTGTGGTAACTGTACCTTGGTGCCTCGAGTCAGGGTGCCGTTGGGTCGATCGGGCCGGTCCTCGTCTGACAGCCGCCCGCTCCCAAAGCTGTCCATGGAGTGGGAGGAGATGGTGTGGCAGAGCTCCTCGAAGGAGTAGTCCCTGTCCCGGCACTTCTTGATCTCGTGGAGCAGTTTGGACAGCTCGCTCGTCACGGCATCATCTGGGGGGTGCGAGGAGGAAGGGTAAGGAAACAGCAGCATGAAGAGAGTTCCTATGACACATCCCTCACAGTGAAGATTATTTCTTTGATTTCTAATTTAAGAGAAAATGAATTATTCTATCCTGCTTCACCGATTTAACACTTGGATTAACTTTAGGCAAAAACCAAAGCCAGATCTAATGTCTGTAAAACAACTAATGTCTGTAAAACATGTCTCTCTTCTGCGGAGCTGATGTGTTCAAAGTGGCTCATTCAGCCACATTCTGAGGGGCTAATCACTTTCTGTTGTCTCCCTCCAACAGTCTCTGAGGTAATCAAGGTAATTATGGGATCTGCTGACAGTCACTGAAGGAGGAAAGCGGATCAGCATCTGATCTCAGCTTGCTGCAATGTCACAGTCAATGCACAGGGGGCAGCGCTGGACAGGGAAACAGCATTGTCTCCACTGAGGGAGCTGCTCTCCGTGAGTGCATTTATACTGCACATATTCAGATACTGCGAAAATAAATTGTTAAAATCAAGTTTAGGTTTCTGTACAAAATACACAAAACACATTTTTATTTTTATTCTTTCAGAGACATTGAGGCATAATTTAAAACTGATTCCTCAACCTCATGCAAAATGTATAGTTCCCTGGATTGTTATTTCACATCTCTGCTTCTGGTTTACACTTCAGTCTGAAAAGGAAATAATTTCTCAAACTCTTTCTGGTCGGATATAAAAAATAAAAAGTCTTCTAAAGTCATTTGGTCTTTGTTGCGTCGTGGTTAACGTGTTTGTACTCACTCTTGTGTCTGAGGGAGGGGGAGGCGGAGGGCGAGGGGATAGAGGTTCGAGGTGCTGGGATGGGACACTTGCGAACAGGCTCCTCCACGATACTCCTCCTCTCCATCTCATCCATCATATAATCTACAGAGACATGGAGGCAAAGGGGTGAGGGGGGGTTCAAATGTGATGAAAGAGTGAGCGAGGAACGGGAAACAATTTTTGGAGGAAAAGTGTGATGGCAGTGTGACGGCGTGGGAGGACGAAGGGAGGAAAATCACCACAGAGGGATTTTACTGGATCGATACATGAGTACAGCCACAGACATGATGAACAGATCAGTTCAGACTTCACCACAAATTCAGGTACGGTTTTGTTAGTTTTCTAGTTTGAATAAAAATGTCTGTAAACTGTATAAAGAATAAATAAACCGTCGTCTTTAACTATTTACAGTTAGTATAGAGTTTCATAAATAAAAGATACAGAAGAATACAAAAAAATACCATATAAAAAGAATAAAAGGATAAAAACATTAACATTTAAACAAGAGCACACATTACAATAATAAAAACTAGAAAAATATGTTTCAAATGTTGATTTAAAGAAGATGAAAAGCAATGAAAGCGCTCTGCTGTTGTAAAGAAAGAAAGAGGACTGAGCTGAAATCACACAAACAAACACTGACAGAGACTAACGCACACACGCACACACGCACACACGCACACACACACACACACACACACACACAGAGGAATCATGTGACAGCTAATACCTGCAGAGCCCTAATGAGGAACTCTGCTAATGTCAGGAAAGAGTGTGTGTGTGTGTGTGTGTGTGTGTGTGTGTGTGTGTGTGTGTGTGTGTGTGTGTGTGTGTACGACTAACAATCCTGGCATTCAGTTCAATTATCGTGACACGGCCACATTTGCATGTGATTATAAAGCGCATCAGAGTCAGAAAGGAAGGATTAAAATGCTTTGACAGTTTTATTGCTCGTACATCACATCAGCAGATTCTTCACAAACAACAGACGTCACACGGCTCCGTGTTGCTCTGAGTGTTACATGAACTCATGCACAGTGCTGGGCTTCATAATCAGAGCTGCTGGGCATTAAAACTGTGAAGCGTTAAAGAATCTGAACAGTAAAGGATGTATTGTGTGCTGTAAATCAAATGAGGACCTCTTCATAATTAGCTGCCTGTGGCAAACATAAAGCCCCTCAGCTGGTAAAACTGAGTAAATGACAGGTCTTTTGCTGTCTGTGTGTGTGTGTGTGTGTGTGTGTGTGTGTGTGTGTGTGTGTGTGTGTNTGTGTGTGTGTGTGTGTGTGTGTGTGTGTGTGTGTGTGTGTGTGTGTGTGTGTGTGTGTGTGTGTGTGTGTGTGTGTGTGTCCTTTCCCATCTTCCTCTCCAACAGGAAATGGCATGCAGCTGATCTTTTCACTAAGTCACAGCTGTCTCCTTTTTCTCCCCCTCTCTCCCCCTCTCTCCCTCTCTCTCCCGCTCTCACACAACCAATTTCAGGCCCTTATTTATGCTGAAGTCCAAATCTCCACGGAGATGAGATTTTGATGGATGCTATTCCAACCCAATATCTACCAGCACATGGTTGTTGACATTTGAAAAGCTACATGTGCTTCATTCACTTCTTTGTTGTGGATTCTGGACGTCATATTTTCTCATTCAAATATTCTAGTTAAATCAGTGTATTTATAGAGCACGTTTAAAAACAACAGATGTGGACCAAAGCCCTTTCCAGCTAAAGGGGATTTACATAAAAAAAAAATAAAACAGCCAAGAAAACAACAATAAGACGCTGAATAAATAGATTTAAAAAACCTCCATCCATCAGAGCTTATCTGGGCTCAGGACGTGGAGGTGGAGTATCCCAGACATCCCTCTTTCTAGCTTTTGCTTTCCAGCTCTTCTCTTCAAGTTCTACCCAGTCCACCCCAGGGGTCTCCTCCCGTTTTAGGGTGCCCCGTAGACCTCCAAATTACGACGAACAGGAAGTATCCTAACAAAATGCCTGGACTTCTTCAACTGTCCCCTTTTGACGTGAAGGAGCAGAGGTTCTGCTCCGAGCTCCCTCCGGATGTCTGATCACCTCACCCTTTATCTAAGGTTGAGTCTAGATACCCAATGGAGAAAACCCATTTCAGCCCTTTGGACTCACAACCTCTTTCTTTCTGTTATCGATGTGGAGGGGCAGGGTGTTGTGCAGTTGAGGGGCAAATACAGCAATGAGATTGTTTTTTCACTGCTCAGACATTTAACAGGAGCTTTAAAACGTTGGGCACATTAATCTGGAGCTGGAATTACTTGTAACATCTGAATCTCTCTTCCCATTGCATCGCTGTGTTTTCCCTGGTTTGTTGTCAGCTGTGTGTCTTCTATTCTCTCGCTGTGCCCAATTTGTAGCTGTGTGTAGCCAACACCCGCCCCATGCGTACACCGAGCGGGATGTGGGGTCCCTCTTGTCCGAGACAGGTTCCAGCTGCTGAGCCGTTGCCCATCCCCACTTCCTGTTTCCTGTCTCATGAGCCAGGGAACCTGATTGGAGCGGCGCCCGGTGTGGTTCTCCAGTCGTGAGGATTCAGTTGAGGACTTAATAGTTTAAAAAGCTTGGCCAGCTCGAAAGTAAAGCAGCTGGGATCCTCAGCTCGCCAACGTGCCTCCTGTTACTGTTTCAGGCTGGTAGACGTTAACTGTGGCACCAGGACTTTAAATCATCTGTAGCTACGCATCTCACACAGATTACACCAGGACAGATAGCGAAGACGTCCGAGCCACAGATTGCAGCCTTCATACCGAGCCTCGTAATCAGGACGTCAGGACGACACCGATTTGGAAGTTGTAATCTGGGGAATCTTTGGTTCCCCAGAAACCGTGGAGTGAACTCACACCAACAATCACTGGTCACACACAAAACACACTGCAGTGAACTTAGAACAGGCTGTGTGATGGTAGGTGACAAACCAAGATGAGGAAAATGTAAAAGTATAGTTTTTTTGACTGAAATAGATGAGGGGTTAGTGCGGTAGATAAGTGCTGTTGTGAGATTTCCACTCAAAACTATTTTGAGTCACATTGATTAGTTGTTGCAACTTTTTTCCCAAAACACCCAGAATTCTTCAGTTCAGCTTCTGAAATAATAGGATGTGTAGAAAAACGATTTTCTTTCAATGTTGAATATGACATCTCCTTTCTATTTAATATGTTATTCGATGTTTAATGTCTTCGAGCATTTTTAAAACCCAAACTTCTGAAACATGTCCACACTCATCCTGCAGCTCATGTACTGGACTACTGCCATAAACACGGGTGAATATAGACTGCACCTGAAGTGGATGTAAATTGGGCTGAGCATGAATCACAGATTGCGGTGTTCAAGTTTACGTTAAAATATTAAAGAGCGGAGGGATTCAGTGTAATAATAGTGCTGACTCATTAGAAGAGTGTAAGTTCTAGTTACACTGAAGAGAGAGAGAGACTCCTAGTTTTAAAACAACCCTGCATTGTGTGTTTGTCTGGGACAACCTTTACAGAGCTCGAGTTGTGTTACTAAACTCACACAAGAGCTTCCATTGTTTCCTCATGGAAGATAAATTTCCTGGAAAACAACATTTCTCAACAGTCACAATGTCATTTTCTACATTTACAGCACACAAGTTCTTTTCTTGCTCCTGCAGCGACCCAATTGTGTGTGTGTGTGTGTGTGTGTGTGTGTGTGTGTGTGTGTGTGTGTGTGTGTGTGTGTGTTACCTTGGATAAGAGCAGTGATCTGCTGGGATTTGGGTGCAGGATGTTCCCTCAGGATCTCCAGCGCTGCTCTCCCCTGACTATCCGTCAGATTGGTGTCGATACCTGGGAAAGAAAAGACACAGTGGGTGATGGTCTCAGGAGGTAGAGCGGGTCGACCACTAACCAGGAGGTCGGTGGTTTGATCCGTGACTCTTCCGGTCTGCATGCCGTAGTGTACCTGGGCAAGACCCAGAAAATGTACTGCTCTCTCACCAGAGTCATAAGAGCTAAAAGTAAAGTGACAGAAACAAACTCTGAGAATCATTTATTTGATTTGTACTTGGACTTTTCAGTTTGGTCCACGTCCCATTCACTAACACGGAGGCCCAGGATCTAGTGACTCACTCGCATAGAAACAAAACTCCTGATGAATGTGTCACCAGAGGAGGAACTTGGGATTTTATTAATTCACAAAAACTCTTCATCGACAGCTTTCATCAAGTTATTTATTGGACAGAGAGAAACTCACTTGAAGATGTTAAATTACAATCCCAGACAGTGACGCGCTCATGAATGCACAAAACACAGAGACCAGACAAAAACAAGACTCACACAAACTCAGACACAGATACACACCCAGACTCATAAACAAGCTCAGCAATGTGAAATTGAAGCTTTTGGAATTCAAGATTCATGTGTGATTTTCCTCCACCAGAATCTTTATCCACCTTGGTCTCTTTAATCCTCCTCTACTTCTACATGAAAAATATATGTTCTTCTATTCCAGTTGCTCTGCTGGGAACCATCGGGTATAAATAAAAGAAAGGTGAATATACACAGGGAGAAAGCACATTTGAACTTGATGTAATGTGCCAGTTTCTTCTTTTACTTACTTTTTACGCATTGCTTTGATTTACTCTCATTAATGGAAAGTTTTCTCGTGTTTTGTAGACACACGCAGCAGTTGAGGTTCAAACCCACTCAACAGAAAGAAGCAACTCAATTCTTCCATATTACTTATAATGTGAAACAATTCTTCAAAATGTCTGAAAACAACAAGACCTACGTTTTATCCTTTTCTAACTTGTGCACTTACATTATCCAAAATGTTTCCAACAACGATCAAACCCAGAGAAAGGACGTTTGTGCAGCAACGGAATATGTTTGATCTCGTGGAAAATCTGAACATGAAATAAAAGAAAACATGTTCTCGAAATGAAAGAAAAGCTCTTGAAATGTTTTAATTTCTAAGGAGAGAAACCAGTTCTCTCCACTAAAACCAAAACACTGAGATAATTTTACCGACTGTTTATTTTTGCATCCTTAGCTGTTTCCCTGCATAGTTTATGACTGACAATGGAAACAAGGCCACTGTCCTGCGTCTAACATGCAGACATGTACCAAGTTTGACTTGTTGCGGGTCAGACCAGCATGGCCCCCATGTTGAGCCAGGAGGTTAATACAACCAAGGCCGCGCAGAGGAAGTCCTGCAGGAAACAGGAAGTGCTGAAGGAAGGAAAGCGTGGGAGGGGACGGCGGCGGGATCAAGAGACAATAGCGTCCAGGTTTAATGTACAACGTCACGTGGTTCAAGTTTTTATATTTGCATATTAGTCACTATGTGTCACTCTGATCACACTGTGTCATATATATTAGCTTTGTCTTGTATTATAGAGAATAGTCACAAAAAAAAAGATAAAATGGAGAGATTCAGTTTTTAACAACGCTAAAGAACGCAGCAGACAGATGCTCGGAGTTCACCTGAGGGTAATTTCAACCCACAATCTGGGAAGAGAAAAAAAACATGTGGCCTGTATAGCTGCAGGTTAAACTAGAGAAAGACAACAAGACACACATGCGCACACACATGCACACACAGGCGCACACACACGTGCACCAGCAAACACTCAGAGTTTTTGTTTTGCTGAGACGCAATAATGAACCCACCTGAGTCGAGCAGAAGGCGAACTACATCCATCTTCCCAAAGAGAGCTGCCTCGTGGAGGGCACTGCCATTCTCCGTCTGAGTGAGAGAGAGAGAGAGAGAGAGAAGGGAAACCTGAGTGTTAATATTCCATCACTATTTAAAACCAACAAAAACCAAAATTAAAAACAAATAAATTAACGAATTACAAATGAAATGAAGTCAAAACTCCGTGGCTGGACCATGAACGGCTAATGTGGAAAGGAAGACATAGTTTTTGAACCATTGCAAACAACCGTTGTCAATAGAAAGCTGCTATAATCTAAAATTCAGCTCTGCTCATACATTAAATTCCAATAAATTTGTTCTATTTACATGTTTACGTTGTCAATCGTACAATAGGCTGCGACTCTCTGAGGTTTCTGTGTTGTTTCCTCCTGCTGAAATACTTTTTGTAGCTGACATCATGTTTATGGGGTCGGTCCAGCTGTTGTGAAGCCAAACTGATTGAAACCATCACACAGGCAGAGGGAGAGGAGACGTCCCAGCGTCTCTCACCATCCACCAGCCTGTATCAGCCTCCAGTGCTCCTGATGGGCATATTACAGATATGATGCAACACATGGAAACTACAGAGGGGAGGGGGCTCTGCTAAGTGCCTACTCTTGGATCTGCAGTGATGACAAAGCCACTTTCAACAGAGCAACACTCAGAGCCACTACACAAAACTGAAACAGCTGTTCAATCGTGCAGCGTAGGTGACTGAGAACAAAAGTAGATTTAAAGGCAGCAGGTGTAGAATTTTTATGTGACGGCAGCAGCTCGTAAATTATCCTGACGAGATAAGTTATGGTTTGTAAAGAACTAACTGTGTGTGCAGCAGTGTGCTCAGCTTTCTGTTTTTCTGCACCCGTGTGGAATATTCGCCATTTTTTCAGGAGTATGGGTTAAAAAGTCCAGTCAGTCATGGTTTCTGCAGGTTTCAATAATAAAACCAAGACTTTTTAAGATCATAATGAATTAGATGAAGACCTGCATCAAATATAACAGATATGAAGGAATATCACAATTAGTTACACTTCCCCACAATCCAAGATAGAGAATAACCCTCGAAACTCATATTTTTATCGTTGAGAAAGAATTAGAACACACGAAGACTTGACAAACTAAACATGTATTAACTAACGTATTTAATGGTAACTCACATTTTAATATTCAAAGACTTTTTAAGTCCTTAAATTCAGATTATAAAATTTTAGACATCTTTTTAAGGCAATTTATTTTCTGGTGTCACACTAGTTGACTGATCTACAGGTGGCAGTACTGCACCACAGCAACACACCTGCAGACACGGTGAAGAATAACAATGCATATGAACAATGCAACGTTACGCTATCATCACGTTAAAGCAGTGCGACCCTTTAAATCTTCCCCTTACCTCCCTTGGTCATCTCTCAACTGATTTCCTGTACTTCTAAGGTCAAAGATCAGAACTAGAGAATCAATTTCATCATGACATTGATGATATTCGACAAACAAATTGATTATGGTCACAGCTGTTGCTCACTGCTGCACTTACACATTGAATTTACTGCTGCGGACACCTTGCTGGAAGTCAAACCACCCATCAGGGACACTACGGAGTTGAACTTGACCTCATGCGCAAATGAAGCCACGGTTAAAAACACAGCAACATACATAACACGCTGAATCCATCGCATCCTTCACGCTTGGCTCCCTGTCACATCACAGATGAAAACCTGGACTGAACCAAACTCCCAGGCTTAATGAAGACAAATTATTTGGACAACAGCCAGGCCTGCTGATACATCACCGGCCGGAGAAATTCAACTCAACACGACGCTGCACCAGATTAACACCCGCTGCAGGGAATACTAAACTTACTTCAGCCGCTCTGTTTCCTCCGCAACAAATGTGTCATCGCCACAGAGAAGGTAGGATTGGGGGGATGGGGCAACGCACCAGAAGTAGCGACACCCTCGGAAAGGTCAAAGGTCAAAGGTCAGGTGAGCCGAAGAGATTTCTTTTTCCAGGTGTACATTAAAAAAAAAAAATGAGGCGAGCAGTCACATTTGCAGAGACAGTGAGTGAATCGAACTGTGGAGGCAGTTTTTTACCCACGAGGAAGTGAGCGGAGGTGGGAGTACAGGAAATGATCCACCTCTTTCCCTAACACTCACAAAAACACACACACACACACACACACACACACTCCACTTGCCCTCGTGGTCATCTCTATACCACTTCCTGTCCCGTTTCCCATGGCGATTATGCAGTGATGTCACAACAAAACGAGGAAGGCGATTCTCGCTCTCGAGGAGTTTCCGGGAATTGAAAGGCAGATGACTTTCTGTTTCACAGTTGCCGGTGGAAATCTAGCAGGCGCTCGCTCACGATGAGACAAAGGGACGGCTGGAAATGATCAACTTCGCTTGCAAAATGCAGTCTTGTGTGTGTGAGTGTGTATTAATATTAAACTCTTGACTGGAGCTGGGTCCCTGCCCACCCTGCAGCAGGTTCCTCCTCAGGGATTTCCCTTCACATTTATGGAAACAAAGAGAGAGATACACAGACAGCGGAGAGAGAGAGACTGTGCTGCCGCTATAAAATATTCATTCACGCTCACATACACCTATATGGCTTGACTCCAATTACTGACCTATACGAGTGCTCTCTCTTTCAACTCACGACAAGGTGGCCATCTGCGAGTCGCCCACAGCATTCACTCTGCACCCGCAACTGTACAGCTCCGACACCGCAGCCATGCACACACAAAACGCCACAGATGGATGGGAAGAAAGAGAGGAGTGGACAGGGGGAGCAGAGAAAGACTGGAGGGAGGTGGAGAAAAGAGAACAAATCTTTATCCAACTCCACCAGAACAAGAGAGAAACAGAGAACATGTGACCTGCGTGGATTGAGTGATTTAAAGGAAGTCAACCCTGGATTTGACCTTTGTCACAGGTAGAGATCTGGTTTTGGCAAAGTACGTTAGCACGCTGCTGGATGTAGCGTCTTTTTAGAATTTAGACCATAAATCAATTGCTGATCGTTGTTGTGATCGTTGAAGGCCACAGCGCTGCTTCATCACGTGTCTCATGCTCCAGGCTTCGTGTTTGATTGTCAGTAGAGGTGGACTGCCACTATTAGTTTTGTTAGCGAGGAAGTTATATCGTTATTTAGTATTTGGATATTTTATATGGATGTTTGATTTTTAGATAGATTTTCTTTGTTTGTTTATTGTTGGCCAATATCCACCCTGAAGCTAAAAGACCACTCTCAATTTATTTTAAGGATTTTTTAAAATAAATTCTTCGTTTGATTATTTGAGGATTGTTTCCTAGACAGGATATATAAAAACCTGGATTTGTTTCTGGGCGTGCCAGAGTAGCTGTGAGACGTTTCTGTTGCAGGAGCTTCCTTTATTAACTGTTTACATACACAAAAAACTTTTAACACACCAGAGAAAAGAAACACTAAAACCCATCATATGTCTCCTTTAACTGGTAATTTATCAAATAACAGGAGCGGGAGACAAACCAGCACATTCCATTTTCTATCAGATTAAAACTTGCTAATAGTCAGTTAATGAGTTTTGTAATTTACTGCATCACACTCAAGGGCCGAGCACACACTGACTCACGAGACAAAACAAGCTGATGTGAAAAATCTTTCAGACTTATTACATGCAAAAAAAAAAACTTGAATAAAACGTGACTCATGCAAACAGAACTTTTCTAATCATCTAACTCATTAGAAATAATCCCACAGAGGAGGAGAATCTACTCGGCAGGTGTGCAGGAGTATCTGTCTGTGTACTCGTGTTTAGAACCCCATCGTTTACCTGCTAATGTTGGTGAAACAGAGGTATTAAAGATATCAGTCCCCGAATGTGTTTGATTCTTTTTTCATCAAGATCACCGAATGATTCCTGGATCATTTCCCTTTCTCCTGATCCAGGCCAAAATTTAATGGGTCCTTTCTTGGCCAATGTCTTTCTTCCCGTTTCATGGAAATCAATTTAGTCATTTTTGCGTAATCTTAATAAACACAACACACAAGCTAACGGACAGGGGCAACATGACCTCTTTGTTGGAGGTAATACAGAAAAACTGTAGAGGCGTTTTGAGGGTTGGAATGCTCATCATTGTGAGAACGAAAGAGAGAGAAAGAAAGAGAAAGGGAGAGAGAGAAAGAAAGAGAGAGAGATTTGCATCAGTGGGTACAGAGGAGCAGATGAAGCAAATCAAAGCTGTGTAGAGTTCATCTTCACTAGACATGTGGAGCCTGAGGCCAAATCCCTGCAGAGAAACACAGCCCTGCTCCTCAGATCAGAGCACACACGCACACAAGAACGCACACACGAACAAACGCGCGCACACACACACACACACACACACAC